AAAGCAACTTAAGATGAACTTCACTTAAAACTTTTTTGGGGTATCTAAAATTCTTTAACATGCTCCTTAATTTTTGTATGACCGTTTTAATAGGTAGATCCCATCTTAAATGTCTATCAACTATTATGTCTAGATATTTACCTGATGTAGTAGCTGAAATTTTAGTAAACTGATCTATTTCTAATGTATCGAAATGAGGTAAATTATTTTTATATGATGTAAATGGCAAATTTGCTTTTTTTTTCAATATTTAGTGTAAGAAGATTGTGTTGGAACCATAATTTTATTTTCTTAAAATCCTTTTCCGTTTGACTTTTTAAATCACTCCAAATCGAGTACTCGTAAAAAATGACAATGTTGTCCGCGAAACTCATTATCTTTTTTGTGGTGTTGAGCTTCAACAAACTATTTATATATAAAATAAATAATTATCGAAAACCACAAGAGACCAATTCAGACTCACTGACGACACTATCAATTTCCACGTATTGGACTCGTCCCGAAAGATAACTTGAGATTAATTCAAACACTTTGCCTCTTAATCCATATGACCTTATTTTTTCAAAAAGTTTTACATAAGAGACCGTATCTAAAGCTTTTGACAAGTCCACAAATATACATAAACTTGGTATATTTTTGTTTAATTTTTATACCTACCCCAAAGTCATATTGACACTGTGAAATTAAATCATGTTTATCTAAAAAATATACGATTCTCTTTTTAAGAAAGTTTTCAAGAACCTCCGTTTGATATCAATGAAATGGGTTTATAGTTTAACATCTCTGACTTACTTCCTTTTTATGTAAGGGTTTAACAATACCTACCTTGAAAACATTTGGGAAACAACCTGCTGCCGTACAATTATTAATTAAGTAAATCCTGGTCACATTGAATTACATAAATATATGCTTCCTGTAAAATCCTCTTGAAATTTTTTTACTTGAGGTATTTCTCTAGTAATTTACCAATGTTACCAAATTGTTAGCTATTTCTATTTTCTCCATTATTGTAACTCCATTTGATAATTTAATCTTCTCTATTTTTGTTTTAGGTTTAAGGTAATTGCAAGCCTGGTTTGCTGTATCCTAAAGAGCCTTCGATTTATTTTTACTTAGTTTAATATTTTTAAAATACTTTTTTTTTAAACGGTTATTAAATTTTTGTGTGTGCTATTTAAAGTAATTATATCTACTTTTTATTGTAGCTTTATATAACCTATTTTTTTCGTCAATTGTTTTTGATAAATTTGGCGTAATCCATTTATTTCGTAAAATATTTTCCTTTTTTATTTTTTTTATGATTTTGTATTTTTGAGTATATATTTATTTAATGTATGAACAAAATAATTGTGTACTAAACAACTTAATGTTATCGTTACATTGTTATACAGGGTGTTTCCGAACTTGGCGTCCAAATTTGTAGGGGTGGTAGTTCGCATAATTTGAGAGCGATTGGCAGATTTCATTTTTCTAAAAAAATTATAATAAACAAAATAGAGCCATTATAAAAAAAATCAAAGAGCGGGTCCTACCCTGAGCGCGTAACACAATAGTCGCTTGATCGGTTACTCATGAAATCTGCGAATCGGTCTCAAATTATGCGAACTACCACCCCTACAAATCTGGACGTCAAGTTCGGAAACACCCTGTATAAGAATCCATTATCTTATGCTAATTTGTATATAATAATTATTTTCCAAATATACTTATGTTAATCAATAGTAATAAAAACACAGCTAGACGACAAAATTTAAGTACCAATTTGGAAAAAAATAATTAAATTAAATATAAACAACGGGCTTAAGTGACAGTGTCTTATTTTATAATTATATTTTGTATTTGTCGTCTACTAATGTTGCCAGTAGTAGATGAATTATTTGATGAAGTTGAGTTGCTTCTTGATTTACTGTTCTTATCTTCAATCTTGTAACAGTTGAAACCGTTATTTCGACACAATCATCTCTACTTAAATGTCATTTGTCGTGTATGCCTTGTGTCAAAAGTTCGTATTTCATTTGATTTAAATTTGTCAACGAATCAAGTGGTTTTGAATTTTAATATATCTTGGTCATCCGATGTACTAAATAATTTTTATCTATCATAAATTCCGTCTGATTTTATAAGGTAAGTTTTAATACTGATATATTGTTGAAAATATATATTTTGTAGAAGAATTTCTTAAATAAAATATAAAATTTTAAACATAACCTCAACAATTGATAACACGTTTTATATAAAATTATATATTATTTTGAAGAGGTTGAGTGGTGTGTACACACTGGGTAATAAGAAATGAATGTGACGTATTTAAAGTGTGTAGGTAGTTTTATTAATATTAATAAAACTCAGTAAAAGTAGTCTTAGCGCTTTCAGCCGGTTAGGCCATCATCAGAGACTCTACAAAGATAAAAAAACGGAGCTATAACAATAGTCAAATCGAGATATTCCTAAACATTGAATAAAAAATAAAAAAACATTACAACTTACTTGTCAGTAAATATAGAAGGTACATGAAAATTAATTATTTAAAATTTTATTTATTAGATTCAAAGGGCTGCCACAATACGGTCCCTGGTTCTCAACCATAACTTGAGGCTTAAAACGAAGCAAAACCAATCCTAACAGGTGGTTGAAAATTGAAAAGAAACGTGGGGGCTCATCCCAACACGTGTAAATAAACTGTCTCAACCTTTCCAAGGAAGAGAGATGGAAAAAACTGAACTTCGGCTTGAAGCCAGCTGCCCTTTCAAAATAGCTACCGTGAGGCGGAGGCAAGTTGGGGCACAGGTAATCGTAAGAAGTAGAATGCAATAAAGACGAAAAAGTAACCATCTTGACTTTAACAGTGCCAAAAAAAGAACTGAGTGACAATTGACAGTTGACAATGAAGTTGTCAAAACAATTGCCAACTTGAGAAATACAAATAAATTTCATTATTAATATTAATAAAACTACCTACACACTTTAAATACGTCACATTCATTTCTTATATATTATTTTGTTTGAAATAAGGTATTATGCTTGTTTATATGTTTAAATATGTTAAATAAGATTTTTCCTTTTCATATTAATTTAAGTCTCTGTGAAATTGTGCATTTAATAGTTTTAAATTGTTCATTTATAATTAAAGCATTTTATCTAAATCCTGTTCAAATTTCCCATTTCCTGTCATAACATTTCCCTTTCTTTTTAGCATGGCTATATCTAGATGGTTTATTTCGATTTATGTCTAGACAGTTTATTTGGATTTATATCTAGACATTTTGAATTCTTATCCAGAAGTTTTATGGTTTTTATACCTAGAAGTTTGGTACAATCTGAAGACCGTGGTTTGGTTTATCTATAGAAGATCTACACGTTCAAGTTTAAGTTAGGATACCAAATTTCACGATATCATTCAAGTTCCAGAATTAAGAATAAGGATACCGAATCCCTTTGAAGTTGCCTGAAGAAGACCATGCAAATAAACATTCCTTATATTACCACGTTCTAAGAACAGATAAGTGCTTTTAAATAAATCATCTTAAATTTAAATTTAGTAAAACTATGTGAATTAGAATTTGCTACTACCTTATCTAAAACATGGTTTAAATATAATTTGTTAGTGGTTAGTGATTTTCTATATTTTTATCACTAATCTAAAGTCAAGTATAGTAAGTTTTAAATATAGTGGTGCCCAACTTCTTTTTCAAATTTATTCGAGTTATTTAATAACCTAACCCACGCCCATTCAATTGAGCTTAACCACATTATAACAAATAGATAAAATATCAAGTATCACGTTACAATCTTCTTAAAATCTTTCTCTTTCTCTTTATGTTCCTCTGTTTCTTTTTCTTTGTTTTCTACTTTCTCGACTTCTTCTTGTTCTTGTGGTTTGTATTTTTTCATTCACTGGGCTTTTGCTTATTTCGTTTATATCAGTGTTAATATTTTTTTGTGACAATAACTGGTGTTGGTAATCAAAATATATCTAGATTGACTTCATAATAGTTTAAATTGGTTAAATTAGTTGCTGTAGTTTCAGGTGCACTGTTTAGTCTAGCTCTTTTGATTGCGGGAGGGGTGGTTGGATGATTGTTACATAATATATTTTCAGCCTTGTCCATTTTTATTAATAGTCCCGGATCCGTAAGTAAGGTCGACCTTCACCCATCTGTTTAATGGATAAAAGTTATTTTTTGTTAAATAAAATATGTTTTTAAATATACCGCAAATGGGTTGCCTAAGAAAATACGGTCATGGCCATTTTTTACTTTCTTCTCTGTGTACAGATAAGGAAAGTATAGGAATCATGATAAAAGTTGTTTATGATGTCATTCTCTATTATTTCGTCTCTATACATGATTTTCCTAAAATGGACCTAATTTGAGATATTTGATGAAAAATGCAAATTTCGAATTTTGAAGATAACTCAAAACCGGATGAAGAGAAAAACATCAAATTTTGAACTTAAGCTTTAATCTATCCTGCGATGAGCTGATTAAAGTTTGGGCACAGTCAAAGCATTTGGGGAATACTTTACAGGGTGTCGTTTTTTTTAATTTAAGAAAATAAATAGTCTGGACCAAATTTTCTTAGGCAACCCATTTGCGGTATATTTAAAAACATATTTTATTTAATAAAAAGAAAGTTTCATCCATTAAACAGATGGGTGAAGGTCGACCTTATTTCGGATCTTAGACTATAAAGCATCCTATTAAAAAATCATCGATGACGTTATCACGTTCACACAGATGACGCAACGTGACGAATAAAATTAATATCTGACAGAATTTATTTATTACTTTCGTTTGAACCATAATAATATTGTATATGTCGGACTTTTGACCTATTCAAATATGTAAAATTCTAAGTATTTCGATATGTCTACCCTAAAATACCATGTACAATTATTATTATTAAATTCAATATTGGACGTCGTCTTGTTGGTATCAGATCGGAATTCGTGGAAAACTGGAATTTACATTAAGCACTATAAAAATATTATAACTACTTACTTGGTGAATCGACAAGGAGATCAGCAGTCGAATTATCAGTACAACTCGGTGACATCGATCCAGGTGACCTCTTCATATTTTGACTAGAACTACTACAATGGTTAGTGTTAATACTAATTTCTCCATTAGTCCTGGTATTCCCACCAGGTGATGAGTTTCTTGGAATGTTTCCCATATTTGCTATATGCATTTTACTATCCACGTAATGCCCACTTTGACTCGAACCGATGTGATGATTAGGTACGGTACCCATGGATGTAGAACCTAATGATACCATGGGAGCTGAACCTAGGTGATTCGAAGCCATGGACGTTGAGCTCATTGGCGTTACATTCATTTGGCTTCTGGACTGGCTGGAATGAGGTGGCGACGTATTCAAAATGGGGGATGAATTAGACAGAAGAGGGTTCATGAGAGGCGAGGGATTAGAGTTTATGTGGTGATTGTTTAGGAGCTGCGGGAGGGATTGGAGTATTTGTTGAGCAGAACCGTTGGAAAGGAGGTGGGTAAGAGTTGCTGGATTTAAGAGATTTGGGTTGATTGTTCCGTTTGAAGTTGGAGGTACTGAAAAATAAAATATTACTTTAGAAATATTTTCCGTCTCTTAAATTATATGTAACATTAGTAGAGTGTGTTTTTTCATACTGAAACGTAGAGTAGTATACTGCTTAACAAACACGGAATGGTACTCATTTCTTACGAATTTGATTTAAACACCATGAGCCACAGCTCTCTTCTAAATTACTTAATGTTTAATATTTCATGGCACGCATGATTTTATTAAAATAATAAGGGTGGTATTATCAGTAAAGAATCTGATTCGGAAATGATTACTTTGTGTTATCAGAATTATAAAATAAGGAAATAAGATCTGTCTAAATCAACAATTCAAAAGGAAAGACTTGTATTTCGTGCAAAACTTTTTAATTAATAAATGCAAAGCGCTTTCGGCTTATTAGCCATCATCAGTGCTTATCTACAAAAATTATGGATGTAAACTTACAATTTAAAAAAATATATAAATCTGATTAAGACTTTTAAGTCAAGAGTTAAAATTGTATATATACGGTTGTTTTAACAAATTAACAATTAAAAGATACAAACATAGTGACAAAAATCCAGTATTGGGAATAGTGAGTGTGGGATAAGCCCTTACAAATCATATCTGATCTCCAGAAGCAAGTTAGCTTGTGTGGAATTAAGGAATTATACCACCTTCACCATTCGCACAATTGAAAACAAGTTGACAAATTAGTTAAAATTTAAAGAAATTTACAAATAGGGTGACTGTGGAAAATATATATTGAAGTTTGAATCTAAAATACAATAGTTAATATGAAGAAAGTTAAACGCAAAAGGCCAAAGTAAAAAACTGAAGGTTTTTTTTATATGTATATACATTATAATTATAAAAAAATTAAAATTCTACCTACTGTCCACAATGTATCCAACAAGTTCCTGGTCATCCTCACTCCCAAAATTAGATATTTCGGGATATTTACAACTTGCTAAATCATATTATTAGTATTATTAATATTTTCAAATTTAAATTTCTTTATCTATTCATTTTTATTTTTATTCGAGTTGTTTAACCGTTTCCACATGACAGTGGTGACAAGCGACACTTAAAGACGTTGACTTAAATGTCAAGAGAGGAGGTGCGTTCACTTCAGTGTGAAACATGTTTCTCCAAGTGTGATTCGAGTGATTGGAGGTGGTTAAAGTAGATCAAAATTTGGTAGTATTGAATTTAAAGATTTGATTTATTGTTAGTTAAATTTAAATAAATATTTAATATGAAATGATGTTATTATTTTTAATGATCCTTTTAATGTCAAGACAAAACAAAATTGTCACTCGCGTGGTTCTGATGTGCCATCTCGGGCTCTGCAGAACTTTTTCCCAAGATGGCACAACTGAACCCACGGTCCCTAGAGGTGAATCTGATGTTTAGTCTTAAACATTACTAAATCACTCATCAAGCGTACTCATGGTTGAAAGAGACAAAATATAGAACAAAAAAGTTTTAAACAAAAGAGTACCATGGTCCCAAAGGTAGGCTCTGATGGGTGAAATAGAGTTTAGGAGGGGATGGCTCTCAAAGGCTTGTATTGAGCGACTCGGACCTACATTATCATAGAGGGTTATTTGAGTTGTCTATGAAGTGGTATGAAATTTCTGTTAAGGTTCACTTGAGTGTTGAGACAGAGAATATTGTTGTCTCTTTCAAGAGTAATTTCAACATCTTCATGAAAATCTAATAAATTGAAGTTTTTTGTGTTTAAGTTAACTAATAATTTGGAGTTTTTTGTTGGGCTAAAATTATGTTGATTGAACCTCAAGTGATGTCCGAATGCAGATGTGTCCGGCTTCTTGATGTGCTCGCCTATCCGGACTCCCAGAGATCTACAAGTTCTGCCGATATAACTGGCATCGCAATCGCTGCATTGCAACCTGTATACTCCACTCTTATCTAACAAATTCGTTTTGTCTTTTGTATTGACTAGATGAGAGTCTAGTTTATTAATTGATTTAAAAGATACTTTGATGTTATCTACGTTGTTAGCAAAAATTTTTGAAATGCTCTTAGCTAAGTTATTTTCCCAGAAGGGGATTGATATGTAAAAATTATTAATATGACTCAAATTGGGGTAGGCTAATTTTTGAATTTTCTTGAACTTAATTTTGGTGATTAGAGATTGGATTATGTTCGGGTTATACCCGTTGTTAAATGCAATTTGTTTAAGTATATTTAATTCTTGAAGATAATTAGTTTTATTTAGAGGGAAGTTTTGCACGAAATACAAGTCTTTCCTTTTGAATCTAAACGACGTGCACACAGCTGTCAACCTTTTTTGGTTATTTCAATAAATCAACAATGTTTTAATTAAAAATAGTTAGAAAGTATAGTTAAAAAAAGTAACTAAATCAGTATCAGTTTCCGAAGTTTATACAAAACGGAAATTTATTTTGCGGCGGTAAAAAATATATTTATTTTGTAAGAAATATTCGAGTAGTTATTTATGCAACAAGTTTGTAAAGTGGGAGAAAAAGTTATTTATACAAGTGTTTCATTAATTAGTACACATTATTTTACAATCATATAAATAAACCAGAATTAAAAACACGAAAACTTTATAAACTCAAACCTCGAGAAATCTTAATTGACACTTTATTTTGGTTTTGCGTAAGTATCGTTAATAGCTATTTGTGTACTAATAGCGAAAAGTGATACTTTGCCGCTTGAGATAAAAAGCGCCAACGAACTTTTCGCTCAAAATGCACACAAGATTTTTTCTACGATCACATTATTTTAAGAGATAGATATAAAAAATTAAAATTTGCCATAAGTGGTGTATAATGTATTGCCTATATCTACGTTTTTCATGAAAAAAGGAGTTGATATGCAAAGACAATGTTAACTTGGATAATAAAAGAAAAAAACATCAAACTAGGTACAAATAACTTCAAAATCATTTATTAAAAAGAAATATTATATTATATTATATCTAATTTAAATTAGGCGAGTGACAAAGCTGTCAAGTTTACCGCTCGGCGATCGACAAAGCTGTCACTTAATGTCAGTTCGCGGAAAACGTCTACTTTGCGGTTGATTTTCGAAGCGCAAAAGCCTACTTTGGATAATGATCGTAGAAAAATAGTATATTATTAAACGAGCAATTTATGATAGCCATTATTCACGCAGGGTGACGTTTGCGTCCCGAGCCGTTTTTTCGACTTTTCGTTTTTATCGATTTTTCGATTTTTTTTTCGATTTTTTTTTTCGATTTTTCGATTTTTTCGATTTTTTTCGATTTTTTTTTCGATTTTTCGATTTTTTTTTTCGATTTTTCGATTTTTTTTCGATTACCTATAAAAAATATTTTCATATCAGTTTAGACATACGTGCTGTCGTGACGTCATACCGTGACTAATGGATCATTATTCACTAGTGAATAATAGGTATTATTATTCTTAAGGAAGTACAAGCATAATGAATGTTTTATAGAACAGTCGTGGACAAAATTATTTATAATATTACTAATTTATATCCCCTCAATACGCTACCCTCACCTCTATCGAACCACCTATCTTTTTAGTTTTAATACTTACAATTAAACTAATTCTACATAGTTTTATTAAAATTTACGAATTTTTGTAAATACAGGGTGTTTCATTGGAAAAGGGAAATATTTTAACCCTATATAGTATGGGTCTTGCGAGCTTTATAACAAGAGTTTTTTGAATTTGGCTCATTTTTTCCGTGCTCCTTAATTTTTGAATCCCTCAGTATATTTTTTTGATGTTTAGCATAGATAATCTACACCTATGGAACAATTTATCGACACATTAAAAAATTTCGAAATCCAGGTCCGGCTTAACAAAAATTATTAAAATTTGACCCACCCTAAAACAACACTTTATACATCTAATTTTTAAAAATTAAATTTCAAATTTGGAAACAGCATAAAAAACTGAATACATTTGTCAACTTTTTATTTTTCCGTATGCCGTTTTCTACCAAAATTTTACCATTAAAATGTACATTATGAGAATTTTAACAAAATGTAGTTGAAGGGGTTTTAATTATTTTTTCTTCATTAAAATTAATTCTACTTAACTTTTTCATAAAAATTCCTGAAACAAACTTATTGACTTTGAAGTAACATTCACAAAAACCAATAAAAATTGCAATTACAGATCCGTACTTAAGAAAATTTAAATGATTCATATTCATTTAATAATTAATCAATAATTATTTAATTTTTACATTTTTACATGAAAAAATTAAAGATTTCCACATTAGGCATCTTCATTAAATGGGCCTAATTGCAGCTATGTATTGTTAATATTACTTGTTATCTATTACTAAAATACATCCACTCGAAGGTACTGAAGCTGAAATGTAGCCTATGAAATTGAGATATCTAGTTTGTTTGTGTCTCATTTCTAATGTCATTATTTGGTTTTTGTCAATTAGTGTACGATCTTATCGAATTGCGTTAGTTTATTCCGTGTTGTCCTAAGATTTAATACTATGTATTAACGATAAATAATAAAAAAGTACCGAATAACTAACAATTCCGAACAAAATAAATTTATTTTAATAATTGTTCAAAATGTCCTCCATTTTGTTCCATACATAATCTAGCTCTTTTTATCAAATAGCGAACCTATCTTCTCAAAACATTTAGATTGTTTTTTTAACTCTTCGCAAGAATTATGTATTCTTTGAAGAAGTTGCTGTCTGTTGTGTAAGGCAGTCGAATAAACTTTTGATTTTAGGTAATCCCAAACGTGATAGTCTAGAAGATTTAGGTCAGGTGATCTTGATGGCCAGTTATTAGGACTTCCTTTACCTATCCACGTATTAGGAAAATTGTCGTTTAAAAAAATTTCTCACAATTCGCGTATAGTGAAGAGGTGCACCGTCGTGTTGAAAATACATTCCACCTACATTGACAGCCGCATCCTGTAAGAGCATTGGTAAAATGCTCTCAAAAAGTCCAAGTAAATTTTACCAAATAATCTATCGTCAAAGATATGGGGTCCAGTTAGTTTTT